GGCTAGGAAAAAGTCTTTGACTCTTCTTCTAGTTAACCACTACTTTAGACTATTCCTACTATTAATAGTTCTCAATCTTACTTTTATCGTCCAAGTCTTTTAGAGTATTGTCTTATATAGTAAGGTCAGTATATAAAGAAAGAATAAAGTAAAGCTTTCCTAAAGGGAAAGGAGTTCATTATTTGAATACTTCTTCCTCTTTCCCTTCTTCTCAAGCTCTTACTCTTACTGGCGCAGATAAAGTCTTTCTTACAGCCAGGCAACTTAAACACAGCGCTCTGATCTCCGACCTCCAAGGACCCAAGCAAAGGATTGACTTCGCTAACCTCAGCTTAACCGAAGTCAATATTATAACAGAACTGGAAAGGGCATACCTTGAATACAGATCAAGATTCACTCATGCACTCTGGAACTTACTTAGGAAAGCTAGCCTTAGCCCAAAAATAAAGGAAGGCAGCCGAGCCGAAAGCCCTACAAAGAATATCGCTTATGAACAGGCCCAGGGGTTGTCAGTTGAGAAGGAAGTCTTTATTGAATTGATCATAGAAAAAAAGGATAGAAATGGAATCGGTTGTTTAAGTCGGAAGATCAGATGTTTTGAGCGGAGAATCGGGTTCTGCTAAGCAGAAAAGCCTTCTCTAATCTAACGGGTCGATTTGAAATGGGAATGGAGTTTGAGGCTAGTGGAGCAAGCATGAATAATAAAAGGAAAAAGCCAAAATGAGTGGAAAGAAATTCAAAGCAAAGCCACCACCACCGAATAGAACCGACGAGTAATATCCTGTCCTTCCCTACCTACTGTATTCAAGCGAACAAGTGTGTTAAGCGAATCACTTTCCGCCAGTGGTACGCACTACATGAAATCAATGCCCAGACAACTATGTGCGTAATCTATATATCTATCCTTATTAATTTCTTTCGCCTATGGAGTGTTAGGGTATTGCGAAGCTTCTCACTGGAATAGACTCGATATTAAGCACAAGAGACGCTTGGGCCTATTACAGACAGGCTCGCAAGCTTAACACGATGAGAAGGTTCCCCACTTAACCCGAGTTTTCGGGTAGAGTAGTGGTCGCCATGCGCCCATCGGTTATAGCCGCTCGCTAGTTGGGGGCAGGAGACAGCCTTTAAGATAAAGAAGGTCTACTGGCCCGGTACGGTGTGGTTTTGTTGGATTTCTCCGTCCGCGTACTTTCACTGGCCCTTTGAATCGATCCTGAAAGACTCCCCCATAAAGATAAGGTTATCCGCTGTTTAAGCTCGAAATCTGAACTTTCACAACCACCAACAGGAAGACAAGTCAGTCAGTATGGGAAAAAAAAGTATTTTTCTAGTCAAGTTCCAGCTCTAGATAGGGAAGGACGACGAAAAGCACGAGTTTACTTTGAGGTAAAAAAGCCGACGGTGCCTAATCTCCTCGGATATCATCGGCCATCGTTCTCATCGATGCGATGACCAGACATGTCACACCATCCCTCGCTGCCCTAACTCACCAATCCCTAGCATCTACCTAAGTGGTATCCTATCACGGAGGCTAGTAAGTAGGCTTTTCTCATATTTGTCACTCTCCACCCAGTATATCCTCCGATGGAAGGGGTACTATCCAATTGTAAGTAGCTTGATTACTGTCTGGCCTTTATCCCTTGCTCATAAAAACGGATATGGGAAAGGTTGGTTAAAGTGTAAACTAGTGACCTCGAAAGATAGGTGGGCCATATTCAGTCCAGAATGCATTAGACTGACTGCATTGGTACCGAAACATCTGATCAGGCCGTCTGGGGTATATGATATGACAGGTCGTTGTACTAATGATCGGTAGGTGGGACTGATACCTAACTCGGGTATCTATCCCTGTGGAGGGCCCTCATTCAATGATCAGATATGTCCATGGGATTAGGTATGAAATGGGCCATACCAACTTGTTGCTTGAACAAGTCCTAGTAGTAGGGCTCCTCATATGGTTAGCGTCCCTGACCCGTAGCGTAGATTTTTGAATGGGATTGGGAATATATTTTAGTATTAACCGAATTTTGGTGGGGGTTCCAATTCATATCCGAGCATTGGTGCACTTCCCATCTGTTCCCGGGCTTTGACGTAAGGCCTGTAGACCGAGCCTCATATCCCTGACTTCAGAGTCCTACGGTCTTCTTTCTTCTCCCTAATTCTCCGTGAGAACGAATCTTAACCCTTGCTTGGTCTTTTTCTTCCTCCTGACTCTCACTTGGAAGCAAGAGATGAAGACATAGGCCTTCCTTATGATCGATCACCCTTTCCCGATGGTCCAGTCATTTTTTCTTTCTTCACTTCCTTTCTGTTACTGCTAGGATAGATGCGGAAATCAGCCTTATTAAAGAAGAGAAGATAAATCTTATAGAAAGTAGTTTCCAAGTAATAGTAGAGATTTCACTTTGCTTTCTCGTATAGTTTCTAGAAGATGCTCGATCCCCTTCCCGAAAAGATATTACTTCGAGCTTCAAATTATCTAAGTCAAAGCTTATGGTTGCTTATAGGCAGTAGCTAAGCGCGCTGCATCGCCTTCTTCTTCCATTGAAGGAGTGTGAACTGTTCAAGACACCCGATAATAAAAATGAAAGGAACAAGAACAATAAAAAAAAACAAAAAGTACGCACCTACTAGAACAACCGGGATCCATTCGTAAAAGATCAATATCAATATAAGATCAGTTGTATCTTCTACGACCTGACATTCTTCCAACAATCTCTTCCACAAGAGTGCTCTAATGGCAAAGAGCTGTATCCACTTGAAACTCGGCATTACTTACTTATCATACACACCTAGCCCGGGGCACTTTCAGCCGGTGGTAGGGGTCCCTAACTTGGTTGGAGCTTAGGCCACTAGAACGCGTCTTTAATCTAGTTCAGGAAGGAAGTCTGGAACTCATCTCAGTCTCAGGGACATGCCCAGAAGAAACAGCTGGTGTCAGGTTTTCGGGAATTGAATCAGGATTGTCTTGTGCCAGAACTGATTGCACTAGGAGAAGAAAGCCAGTTGTTTATTCCCATTCCCTTTAAGTCAGGGATTCGTTTAAAGCCTTTCGCTAGCATTACAATAGAACAGAAGAAATGGCATCCATCAGATTCATTAGCTGCGGACGCATAGGAATTCTTTCTTACTGTAGCCACACAGAGAAAAAATTAGATTTCATAGACGATGTGGTAATCAAGTAGCAATTAACTTTTAAACCTCTTTCTTCTTTATCGCGGGCCCTAAAGACGATCCTTGCCCTTGTTCGATAGAATAATCTGGAGCGGATTTCCGATAGTTGCCAAGTCGAAACCCATAGTATACATCCAAAAAGGAGAGTTCTTTCAGAGCGGGTCAGGGAATCTAAATCTAAGTAAATCATAGAATCGATTCCCGTTGATGTTTGACGAGAGATATCGATAGTATATATAGGTTACGATTTCTTCACTCACGCGAGATTGCTAGGGCAGAAAAGCGAGAACTCGAATGCTTCTCCTATTCTCTATAGATGAGACTGAGAAGTAGATCCAACCTAGTCTAGTAGTAAGCAATCTGCCAAAAGCAAGGTTTTTCTTCCTAATCCTAATCTCGTAGTATACAGGCTTATTCTTTAATAGCGGCACATACAATACGTGTAAGAAGCCTTAAATGTGATGTGATTTACCCCGGTTACTAACTGAAAGCGGCTCTTCGTTAGTGGTCGTCGCTCGAACGAATCAAATAATTTATGCGCTTCGTCTTTAACGCCGGAGGGAAAGCCGCCGATTGACACTACTTCTTACTTTTTTTTCCTTCTGACCCGTTCTCTAGGAGCTAGACTCAATGGCTTACAGATACAAGGCGGGGGAATGACTCAATGGTTTTAACTTGCCTTACCCATACCCTTCCCTGACTCTATCTACTGGGACTGACTTCTTGGCTTACTGCAACGCTTACTGTATCTTTAACTGAAACTTCTTTGAAAGGTCCCTAGAAGGGATTGGAAGAAAGGCCAGGCAGGTTTGTTTAACAGTCTTTTTCTTATCAATCGGCGAGGCCTCGCTAAAGCTCCGCTTCTTTAACTTGAAACTCCCTGACATTAGAGAGTGCCCAGTTCTCTCCGCTTCTCCTTTCAGTCTAGATTAGCCTGTTGATGTTGAGGTTATCTTATCACCTGTAAGGATCTTCTTACTTGATAGAGTTGCTAAGACCTCGGTATGCTTGTATGTCTTATCACTCCCCTCGATCCGCCGCCAGCCAATAAGAGACAGAAGAGAGAGCGCACCCGACAAAGCGGATAGGAGAGGTCTTTCTATCTACGACTCACTCTTGGTCTCGAAAAACAATTCATTTGACTTGGTTCACTCCGTTCGTAGACTCTATCGACCCTGGAATGGGCAGACGTACAAGCACCGGTCTGGTACTCTTCGCGTGGCTCGGTAAGCGAGAACTTCCGGAATGCAAGGCATATCTAGCTTTCACTCAACTATATGATACTAGTTGGTATCAGCACATGAAGGCTATAGCAAAAACTCTTATTCGTCATCAACAGGATAGGACCAGAGCTTCTATTTACTCAACAGCTCTTACTGTAACAGAAATAGCACCGCTTGCTTATTCAAGACCGCCACTTCTATAACACCAACTGCGGATACCGTACCTTCATGTACAACTTTCTTCTTTCACAACTCTTTCCTCCTAACGCTGGTAAGACGCTTTATTATCCCGAACTATATGGCGTAGTGTATTCACTTAGACTCAATTGAAATTGAGCTTTTGTGGGCTGGGCCTTTCCCTTACAGGCTTTCTTTCTAATGAAAGGGCCTAAGACTCAGGGGCGTGCGTGGGTCAGTTTAGTTTGGTCCTAGCTTATCGTTAGGGTACTAAAATAAAACGCTTGAAAGCAAATGGGAATAGGCTAGCCCGCACTTGAAATTAAAAGGCTTCTATAACAGGGGCATTATGGGATTGAGAGCAATTGGTACGATAAGACCTGCAAGAAGGCCCCGAGCTACATATCTATCGCGGCTAAACATCACTGGAACGGAGTGGAGTCACTCGACTTAAAAGATGGGATTAAGCTCTACTTCTTATTCTTAATACGAGAGGTGGGTCACAGGCTGATAGGTGGAAGTATTCAAGATAACTATAGAGCGGAATGCTTGGAGCGAGCCGAGTGCTTTCCTTTTAGCCGTGTAACTTGGCCTATTGGTCTACTGGTCTATTATTCCTTGTTCTCTTTTCGTTATCCGCATTGGAGCTAGAAAGGGCTACTTGTAGGACTTGTACCGATCTGTATTTAGCCAGCTCTTTAGCTCTGCTTGGGTCTATTGGTCTAGTGCTATTCGGTTAAATGTCCTTTGTTTGTTGTCCCGTCGTTCAAGGTCGAGGGCATAACTTTGGGTTAGAGCTCGAGGGTTATATCCAATGAATGAAGGGCACCGATGCCACCAATCCCCTTTCATCTTGGGGGCGACTCTATGCCTTCCCGGCTTGGCTTGCTTTCTTGGCCCGGACAATTTATCTTTACTTGGCTCAGTCTCTTCGAACCTCTACCTAGAGCATCTTCGAATCTTGTTGAATTGGTCTACCCCATTACCTTATTGTTTAGTTAGAACCGGAATCCCTATACCTAAAGCTACTTATTCAGATTTTGTTATTAAACCTGAGCCTTCTGAAGAGTCCATGTCCCTTTAGCCGGTGGAGCTGGTTCTAACCTCTTCTTTCGCTTACTGCTTTAGGAATATCAAGATTAGTCCACTACTAGAGAAAGAGCCCTTGTCTTTGGCGCCTAGTCTTCAAGTTCTTCTTCAATGTCAATTGTAACTTACTCCAATGCATTCTTTCACTCCCGTTCCTATCTTACAATACCGGAACATCCTCTGCGCCGTGCCCTGGATATGCCATTTCCGCCTAACCCGAATCTCTTTCTTGACTGAGCTGCATTTCCAATCCGTTTAGTCGGTCTCGTACCCAAGTGTATATCCCTTCTTTATTTGCGTAACACTCTTGATCTTGAAACCAGAGAATAAGCTGACCGCTCTAAGTCGATCTATTATTATCTTTCCCTCCAAACCTTCCTAGTCGAGCTTCCACCGCCCCTAAAGAAAGAGATGGGAGCACATCCGTAACTCAACGTTACGACTTACGGGCACTCATCTCATGGATACCCCTTCTTTTCTTGAGCCAGAGTTGGGGCTTTTGCGGCATCTAGTTCAGTATCAGATAGAGCAGATAGTTTAGTCCCTTGGCAAATAAGGTTGACTTCTCTGTCACTTCCGTACTTCTGTAACTTATCTTTAGCTTATTAATTGAATTGGTTAGAAAGTCTTTCCCTGGTATTGGCTAGAAGAGAGGGATTAGTCCCCCTCCAACACTTACTTCTTAGTCGAGTAGTTATCTTTCTCCTTAGCTTCGGTTTTATCGAAACTGGCTACTCCTTATGATATGCCACCTAAACCCCCGATCTAAGAGCATCTGAGAACATCTCCGGCATTGTCGAGGGAAACTCAGATAACCAGAATGATTGGCCTTCATGCCTATCCCCATCGATCAGAACTGGCAACAGATCTTTCAGCGGATGTAGCAGCGGATATTGATCCGCTGTGTTCAACTCCTGCTACTGGGTCAACTCCAAACCAACATTCGGGAAGGGAAGCCAAACTACTTCTTGAACTAAACAACTTATTCCTTTTCATTGATTGACTAATGCCCCGCCCCTCGGTTGAAAGATAATCTTTTACCGCTGGATCAGCTGCAGAAGAATTATTCCTATTATAGATCACTTCCATCTCACGAATTGGATTTGAACCAATATCTCCGGGCGACTTTCCTTTTAGTCGATCGTGAGTGGGTCTGTCGTCCTCCTCATTATAGTCCTCCTAAAATCAATAGCATTTCGTCGGAAAACATCCTGTCTTTTTACCTGACTAGTCCTATGCATAGTAAGTACTATAGCCCCAATCATGGCAACTAATAAAATGAGACTCGAAACCAAAAACCAGACGAATTAGTAGGTATAAAGTAAATTGCCCAATGTTTCCAAATTAGTCCAACTTCGTACCTTTCTGGCATAAACCGTATATCTAAGAGAGGTCGTATTTCTTTGGGTTGGTAGTAATGGAATGGTTTCATTATCTAAAATGAAGAACATTTCCCACCAAAGGATCAGTCCAATAATACCACTCACTGGTAAATAGCGTAATACTTCTTCGTGAATCTCCGCTATTTGAATATGGAACATCATAACAACGAATAGGAATGAAACGGCTATAGCTCCTATATGAACTACTGGGAAGATCATAGCGGAGAAGTCGAGACCTAACAAAATAAGTAAACCTGAAGTGTCGCGAAAGACTGGGATGGGAAACAAAACGGAATGTACCGGATTTTTTGCACGTGCAACCATCAAACCAGAGACCAAAGCGGGGCTCGACAAAACAGAAAGTATCATGGTACCCTTAGTCCAAAAATCCTTCCCTCCAGACAGAAAGATAGTCTTTCCTGCACGGAGTAGTGAATAACTATAGAGAGCTGTGCTTGGTTGTTGACCAAAGAAAAAGCATGGAAAAAGAAAATTTAACATTTCTAGAAGACATAATTAATGAGGTCTAAAAACGTTAAAATTTCTTCGCATAACCAAGCATCTTGTCCCTGTAACATCATATCGTAATACCAAAATGTAAGAAAGCCCTCATTGTAAATACGATCGTCAGCTATTACCGCCCGAACAAGGTCAGGCATACTCCATTCAGGAGGTAATTGCCGACCATTAAGATCGACCCACTTCGAAGATTCAGTAGATATTCTATCAAGTATCTCCACCGGGTCAGTCGGGGCGCTTCCAGCGTCTGACCTAGTGGAAGATGTACTTGACAGACTATCTAAAGACATTTCCGTTTTGGAAAGCATAAATTTAAGATCACTTGATGTAGTATTCCCATAGAGAGCCAATGCACCTTCACGCCTCATATGAACCTCTGTCAACGTGCTCTGCTCCCCCCCAAAGAGAGACTTGAAAGTCAATATTTGCGTTGGTTTTTCCAACGAAACTAAGCACTTTTTTTTTAATTCGGAATGAGCCCACCTAAGCACTAGTAGAAATGTTATGACTCGAGTTTATTTACCTTCGATGCACACTTACTTTGCCATAAATTTGTCCTAGTTATTGTCTGCGTGCTAGCGGATAGAGAACAAGGTTCAGTCTAAAGCATTTACCGGTAAGACGAATCTTCTTTCTATACATAATTTTGATAACCAGACGACTTCTCCACCCTCTGCTAGCAGCTTTCTTCTCTTATTATTTTTTCGCTATAGGTCGATAAATTTAATACCGTCAACTCTTCCTAGTACCTACCCGTCGCTAGCAGCATTAGAGCCTCTATCACTAAATTAGTGAGCTTTGGGAAGAAAAGATTAAAGAAGAGAGGGGAAATCTCACTCACGGAACACTTTCATGTTCCAAAAAGACCAGAATCCGACACTTTACAATGAAAGAACAGACAGAAGTGGAACGAGAGGGGAGGTGACGAGTTGGTAGCTCACCTCTTCCTTTGTTGCAGGCATAGACAATGGGAAGGTCCACTTGGTGATTGAGTTCCGAATTCCCTTCCCCTGTTCTGGCGAGTGACTCTTCCGGAAAATCCATGGAAGGGATTTATTCAATTACTCGCCTCCGACTTGCCTTGATATTGAGACAATCTTTCTTTCTATTACGCTATTTCAAAGCATCTATCATTGGCTCCCTTTCCTACGAGACTTTCTTTAATCCGAATTCCTGTGGCACTTCTTTAATCAGGAATTGAGAAGCAGCAGGGTATTTAGTTGATGGAACACTTTACAGATTCCTATTTTAACAGAGTCCAAGACTTGACAACAACAATAATAATTGAGCGTCAGATGCCTTAAGTTGGAAGGAAGTAGCTACCTATGATTTAAGAATTGAGTTAATAGCACATGAGTTAGATTAACCTGGATCTAGCTGTGACTGCCTTTATTATAGTATGACAGTTGCTAGCTCTTCTTCGGCTTCCTTTGTATCGTAGCCGTCATTAGAATTCCTAGGAGAATGAGGCACAACTGGGAGAATTAGGAAAGCTCATAATGGAGTGGAATTGGCATCGTGCCTACTATTTATGACGATATTATTAATTAGATGCCGTCATTAGTAGAGTAGGCATAGAGGGGTCACTCTAAATATACGAGTTCGACGCATTAAATTATGATCTATCTATTACGATGAAGTTCATTGCATTTCCTATACCCTTCCTTCTTGCTATACGGGCTACTTCATTCCTTGCTTTAGAATGACGAAGAGAGAAGTGTGAAATGCTACCTTCCCTCTATTCTTTCAGTTGTTAGCTGCTTCTACTTTATCTGGTATTGAGTTCATAGACCACAATCAAAATGTGATTCCGACACCTGACGAAGACCTTCGACGTGCTGCGGAAGCAAAGTCGTAGTTAGTAGTCCGTTACGGAAAGCTAGCTGAACTCTCTTCTATGTCTTACGTAGATAAGAAGGAATGGGACTGCTGTAGCTTCGCTTCTTCTTCTGCTCGCTACCGTCGATTAGCTCGACCAGAGGCAGGAAGATTACGGGGTTTAGTCCGAGAATTCAAAATCCGTCATTCTTCTTAGTCTTTCTTGGCTAATTAAATTAACTAGCTCATCCTTTTCAATTAGCTGCTTTCCAGACTCGGAAAAGAGGGCTTCTTGGATAATGCGATGGAGGTTAGCTACCTTCGTCACTCATCAGTTAAGGCATTCTATTGGGAGAAGCCAACCTGCTTACTATTAAGGGAGGAGGATGTTATTTAACAGTGGTAGGGGAAGTAGCCCCAAAGCGCAACCAGACTCTTGTTCTTCCTCTTCAGCGGCCAAAGCATTAAGCAGTTGTTTTCGGTTCGTTTTGAGTTGAGTTCCTTTCTACAAGGACGCCCACGCAGCGAGGATATGGGGCAGGCTACCTCACTTAGAAAAATTACCTTTCGCCTGACGTCCTCGCGGCCTTCTCATCGCCCTAAACGCTCCTCAAAGGCATCTCAGTCTCCTAGTCCTCTCCTAAACCTACTCTAATCAAAAGTCATGAAATGGATATATACTTTATCTTCAGCCTTAAGCCGACAAACTTCAAACAGTCGCTTCTATTTTCTACTTCCTTCCCCATGCTGCAATCTGTTACAGTTTATTGGTTATTTCCGTTCTTGTCAATGGGCCAAAGTCTAGCTTCGTCAAGTCAGTCTTAGTCACGGGGTTCTTTTCGCCTGCGCAGTCAGTATTTGGGTCTCGTTCGCGGGACCATTGTCCATTAGTGGTCCATTCCTTTCCGCTACTGCATTTCCTCGTCTGCTCGTTAGGCATCCTTAGCTCATCTCAAAAAAGTGTGTCGGCATCTGTCTTCTCTTTCTTTCCCTTGTCTTAAGTCTTGAAGGGGGGCATGCTATCTGCGTAGATAGGCATTTTGATTGAGCTAATTAAAAGTTAAGTTTAAGTTCACCCAAAATAAACAACGTCAGCAGGTCTCGTTCGGTACAATTTTTCCACTATCCAAAAGGGGCCATAACCTCTCGTCCTGGTATGCGCTACTACCAAGCACTGAAATGCCCGGTCTAAGTCCTAGGTGGGGAAAGCATCTGTTCTAACCACTTTTTCGAGGGTTTCCAAATTCAAGGTGCATATCTCTCTGATCCGGCTGTCTGGTCTTAATTGTGTCCTCACCAGGGATCTCCTCTTTCTAAGATTCAAGCAGCTTATTGCTCTTCTCCCTTATCCTTCCGCCACTGGCTCAACGAATTCTAGTCATTTGTTCGGAACCAAGTGTGGACTCGTTCCTAACGCCATAACAATTATATTCCTTTATTTATCCTCGTACAAGCAATCTACCCCTATGTCTGTCTGTACAAATAGCCCTAACATTGCGTTCTAAGCGCCAATCTCGATTCTCCTCGCAGTTCTCCCTTTAACCTCTAATCAAAAGTCTAGCTGTCTGCCTGTTTGTCGTACTAGGGGCTATATTCTTACCATAAATAAATCTTCTTCTTTTTTAAGAAATCAGTCTCATGTCTCCATCTATCTCCTCGCAGTTTCCTTTCTACCCTCAAACCTGATGGCTCGGTCAGTTCACCTCTTAGTAGGACTTGTGATTGGGCAAGTAAGGTCTAATAGCCGCTACTGGAAGTTCTTTGTCCTTTCAGCAAGTCTCCGGGTATTCCGCGTCCCAATGGGCTCTATCTCACCACCTCCTCCCTACTGCCAGTCGCGTAGGAGTAGTCTGGGAACCTTCAAAAACCTTCCCCAATTGACATGAGTCACGGTAGGCCTACCGTGACTCATGTCCCTAAAATGTTCAGATTCCACCTCTTGCGTACGTTTCCAATTTATTGGCACTGGTTGGTCTCCTGCTATATCCGCTTCCTTTAGTCTTCGCCTTTAGATAAGATAACAAAAAGTGTCTGTTTATTTAGGCATCTTAACTATTCAAAAGCTTCCTTCTCCTTGCTATGGTTACGACAATCTTAGGGGTCAAGCTTCACGGCGTACGTCCGTCTAATCCATGCTCAAGCTTCCATTCCTTCTTTAGGAGGGTGGAAATCGAAGTCTCGAATACAGATTCCAATCGTCCAGGCAAGCATGCATCTTAGGCGCCCCTTGTAAAAAAAAACCGTACCGAATGAGTCACGAACCGTCGGAAGCGCCTTTCTTTCTATGCCTTCCTTCTTCTTTTGATTCTTTCTTCTTTCTGTTCACCTGAGCGGAGTCTTTACTTGCTTTCGAGCGCTTGGTCTGGCCTATTTGTTTGCTGTTAGAAGGGAAGCCTGAGCACAGTAGCAGGTAAAGAGAGAGGGATTGCTCGGCAGGGAAGACGGGAGAATATCCAAATCAAAGACAGGCACTCGACTCTATATACAAGAAAATAGTGAACTAAGGGGATCACAACAGCGAAGGGGGCCAATCGAGGAGACTGGAGGAGCTGGATGCAGCGATTCGGAAGTAGCGAATCGTCTTCTTTGCAGTTTTTCAGGGGATTGGCTATCAAGCTAGCAAAAAATTCCATTATTCGGCTATTCAGATATATTTGTATAGAAAGTTGACTTCTTTCATTCAAGTAAGATATTTGATCGAGAAAGGTCCTCTTCCACTGAGAAACTAAGGAGCGAAAGCGATGTGCTCCGATGAAAGCCTTGCGGGTCTAACGCGGCCCTTTACTCAATGAATAGGAAATATGACCACACACAATGACGAATCCCCGCGATCTGGGGCATGAAGCAGTTGGCTCTCATTGGGAATTCTCCATAGCATGACTAGTTAAAGCAATCAAATTGATTGAGACAAGCAAGCCTCAATCCCGGGTTCCCCATGACGAATCAATTGTGTCGGGCGAAAGAAAAGGCCGGGGCAGGAATGCGGTAGGCGGTGGTCCTATGAATGGGTTGACTAAGATAATAGAAAGTCTACGGTTAGTTCCAACAATATCCAACAAAGACCGTAATTACATACATAACATAGTCATAGCGGAAACTATCAAAACGAGTATGCTAGGTTGCCTATGCCTAAAGCCTGTCTACTCCTAACAAGTCTAAAGATAGAAGTGACTTTATAATAGTATGGCTGGAATCAGGTTCTCCTATGCGGAGGGAGGGCTGGATTTACGCCTTTTTTTAGTTATCTCAATAAGTTACCGTCAAAGAGAGAGCCATGGCTGCTCACACATTGTTAGAGCGGGAAGGGTTTATATTAATTTCGCGTTGCATGAACCTGGTTGTTTGGCTATTAGATTCGCACAGACAGGCAGCAAAGAAAGGGATTCTAGCCTACTAGTTAAGTAACAGCAGTTGTGGTTTCTTAGAATCATCCTCAGAGGGAGCCCATTACAGCACCGGGATACATAACATAAAGGCAAATCATTGTAAAGTCTTATCGTCAGGTTTGAGACTAAGATTCGAGCATTTAATCGACATAATTTGCATTTAAAGCCGATGATGGTGTAAGTGATTCATAACTAATCTTCCCTTCGTCGCTGTAAGTGGAATGCCCCGAAATTATTCCTTAAATAGGGACTCGAATCTAATACAGCCATTAGGAGAGATCTCGGCATAAGATGCCAACGTCGGGCATTCAAATTAACTAGTCTTCTTCGCTACAAGTCTGATTCCTATTGCTTCTAGCCCCATTACATACCTTTGATAGCCATTTCAAATCTATCTATTTGAGACCAAATCCTATGACCACATTCTCCTTTGAGTTCCGATCTGACATTCATTCAGAAAGCGAAGAACTTACTTATTAATCTATAACTGTAGAGTTCTAAATCTCGGATTTGATTTGAACCAACGCTCATCAACGGATCACGACGTGAACTGTCAACCGAGCTACCACCGAGCTACCGAGACGGGAGGGAGGGACTGATTGATACATGGAAGCCTATAAAATCAAGTGAGTCCGCTCATAAGAACAGTAAGTCCCTCTTAGTCTCACCATGTGCCCTTATTATGGAAGCTAGGATTTCTTTCTCATATTCGACCATGTCTGGACGTTGTGTAAGATGAAACTTCTTCTTTCTATAGATAGATAAGGGAATGAATGTAGCTCGTGACGAACCTACTGAAACATCCCTAGCCCCAGGTGCTAACCAGTGAGACACCTTTCCCGAAACTACAGCTGCTCCTAACCCGGCTGAATCCGGGGTAATCCTGACTGCACCAAAGACTGCAACGGCCTTTTCTTACTCATCCATCTACCTTGAGACTGCACTGTCTATAGGCACCTGTCCTGCCTCTTACTGCGGGACAAAGAGCTGCAACCTTAAAAGAAGCGGGAGAGCGATCAATTGTTGGGTTCCTGTGCCCTAGATTATTCATGTGGTTGGGTTAGGCGTATCCGAAACGTAGGTATTACTCTCTTTCTTAACCCCTTTCGGAAATGTAGACGGGTAAAGCGGATGGAAAGTCTCTCATAGCAACATAGAGATCGAGCTTGGAGGCCTGTCTAGCAGGTGATTTGATCGGGCACCCACGGAGGCTGCGAAAGGGAATCGGTTCTACTTGAAACGGGAACAATCATCCCAATGGTCACTCATAAGGTACTATATGTAGGAGATATTCTGAAAGATCTCAAAAGGAGAAGGGAACGACCCCCTTCGATCCTGCCTGCTAAATTGGGGAAGATATAAAAAAGGGGTCCTCTCGCTCAATCCAATATAAATTGTTCCTAGTCTTGTGATGAGCTTGAAAACAGGCCTTGAAGCATGGGCGGGGCTAGGGAAGCTCTTACAACTCAACAAAGCGGGTATTTTAATGCTTAACACGGGGGCTAGAGCTGAGGTAAGTGCATCTGATTCTTCATTTGCAACCGGGGATGAAAGTAAAGGCTAGCAGGGATTGTCATTCATCCGGATACAATATTATGTTTAGAAGTCTTGTTGAAGATGCCTTGACTGTATCCTTCGGTTCTGTTCGCAGATCTGGAACATTCCTTGGCAGCGAGTGAAACGATCGAACAGGCCTTTACTAAAAACAAGAATGATAGCTTCAGGAAACAGTGAGTAGAGGGATTGCAACACCCTTACTTCGGACGCCAAAAAGAGGATGAGAGGGAAAGGCACCACGCGGTTAAGAAGCTGACAGAGAAGCAACTGAGCATGGACATCCTCACTGTGTTATTCATCTTCAGAATCCTTGTTGTATCTTCCACCGATGCTATTTCCTATAGCTTACTGGTATTGGACCTTTCTTCTGAGATTGGGATGAGGAATTGGAGCTGGTAGGGCTTCCTTTCCAAACAGGTCTCAGTCTTCGAAGTGATCCAACAATTCCATCTCCAGTAAAAGCATAAGAGGTGCATCTGATCGGGTAGCAGTGGGAGAGAGGAAGAAGAGGCACCCACTAGAGAACAAATGATATGGCTCGTTCGTATAGGCAGATCAAAAGTGAATGCCTATGTGCCAAATAGCGTGACTCAAGAGATAATTGCAGCATGTCAATCAAGGTCCGGATCGAATCGCATTGAGAAGGAAGGGAGACAGATCTCAATGTCATGATAAAAGGAGCGGGGACGGGCGTCAGAGAAAGCTGGTAATCGAAGAAGTAGTGAGTAGTAAGGCTGACGGTGAGTAAAACGAACAAGCTGGGGGCTATTGAGCTTGTTGAACCAGTGAATCTTTCGGTCCGGCCTTCCAGTTACGAAGCGGATTGTGTTACACCCTTCTGTTCATCTCATCCCAGTTGTAGTTGATCCAATCGATCCAGAACCTGCGGTAGTTTAACTAGTGAAAGCAAGGTCGGGAAAGAGGAAAGCAATTCCCTTCTTTCGGTAAAGAATTTCTTTGAACTTCTCTTCCAATTCTTATTTTAACTTTATCTACCATACTGGCACGGACCTGCACAGGAAATAGCAATCCTACTAAGCCAATTCTATGGATTCGACTACCACCGGGAGAAAAGGCGCTAAGAAAACAAAGCGCTCCTCTCGGAAGTTTCCAGGAAAGGTCGAATGTTAACTAACGACTGAACTCACGGGCAGCTGTGAAAAAGAAAGAGGAGACCTCCAATCAATGCTTTCGGGCGAAGTCCTTGTCACTGTGTAAAACTGGTACTTTCCTATAGTTGATCAAGGCTGCTGCTTTACTTTGCTAGTGAATCAGATCTTTGGCTTTACCGTCTTACTATTCGGAGAATGGACTCTGTTAGGGGTGATATCTCTCTATCTTAAGTCAGTCATTTCTACCGGCTCCGGGTAACTTCCTTTAGGAAGGAAAGCAAGTCCCATCGATTGAGCTGTTGATGGAATGAATGGAATAAGGGCTGCTTTCAAACCTGAAACAGGTCCAGGTCTTGGAATCGGGCTAGGAGCAGCTATTTAATTTGTTTATGGCGGTGTGATAATGCCAGTCGAAAGGGAAAGGTGATGACTATCTGTTCTTACTCTTTTTCCAAAGGCCCTAGAGTAATAAAAAGAACTCTTCTTTCAGCTCAGCTCTTGTGAAATGGTCTCTGTGGTTCGCTTTCCCTTGTGACTATGCTTTCAGTTCTGTGGTGAATGTCGACTCTTCACTCTTGCTTTCCTACTTATCTTAATAATAATTCCGCCATATTTAACTACGCTCTCAAAATAAGTGCTTTAGTCTACGAGTCTTAGGGGAAGACCAATCCCTAAAAAGGCATGTCTTAGAAGGTCAGTATAAGACAGAGTGGGAAAGATTTATACGCAACAATACCGACAGCAGCTGAAGCTAGCTTTCTTAGCGGATTTACTAATTCAAACATATGACATATGACGATCGTTTAGAGCACCCACCTCCTGTGAGGGTCTCATCCTCGGGCATATCTGTTCCAGAGAGAGATCAAGAAGGAGAGATTTGCTCCTATGGGAAATTCTTCCCCTGCTTGATTTTCCCCAAACCCAACTATTTGATTTGTTAGGCTTTCCTATCTATGTAGGGTTCCCTCCCACTGGCTATGCAATCTAGCAGGGTCCATTCACTTCAATATCCTTATATGCAAGCTCGGGGAAAGGTCAACGACAGCAGGCTTCTTTGTCAAAGACATATCGAGTGAAAGGTCAAAAAGCACAGGAAAGACCTTTGAGATGTTTTCTTGGGTTCGGGGGGTAGATTATGAAAAGGGAAGGTGCTAGCACCCTTTTCATCCATGGTTTTCCATGGGCTCTTAGTTACTTGTTTAGATCACTTGATTTTGCTTTTCAATTGTTTGAAATGGTGCTTTGTGTGTGGTTTTTGAAAATGCTTTGAAAAATAGGCCTTGTCTAGGCAACCTTTGTAATGATTCTTGTTTGAATATATACAAAGGTGTTTGTATTTTGAAAAGATATTTCAATGTTTGAAAGTTTGTTTTTGGGAAATGTTTTGAATTTGTATTGTGAGGTGTGTTTGAAAATAGCAAGGATGATTTGCAAGTTTTGATGAAGTAACTAAGAGTTGTCTATCCTATTTTACTCAAAGATCTTTCCTATACGTCTTTAACCCTTTTGACAGTGTTGTTTTACCATTGTATTTGGTAAACAACCTTGTATTAGGATGTTAAACAGGACAGGCACGGGTCATCGTATTGACCATGATAGCAATTGTGCTAAGTATCTTTAGCAATTCTTGAGGGACTAGATCATTTTGTTTAGGAAACCAAGATAGCATCATTGAGGGACTATGATCTTTTGCTTTGCTTTGTTTTGTTTTGCCAAGATACCTAGCATGCATATCATGGCCATTTTTTAGGCAACAAGTGGAGATTCCCCTAAGGGTGCATGTGTGCAAGTGTGTTTGATTGCATGCGTTTTAGTCTTGATTAGGATGATCTATTTGTCAATTTCATGTCTTTCCATACACACCCTAGTTACTATACAGTATAAGGAAAACAGTAAATTGCGGAAAATGAAATTCTACGTTATTACAATATTAAGGGGATGGGGGTACATATGTATGAATGGGGATTGCAAGTAAACATAATTCCTAAGTTACTATTACAACCATATTGAAATGTATAAGAATGTACAAGGAAATGGACTAGTTTTAGAAAATGTTTTTGTCTTAAGGAAATAAAATAAAAGAAAATGTTTTTATATTTTTGATGTTAATAAAAAAGGATAAAAAGGAGAATAAATGCAAAAATAGAAGAAAAAAACGTGTTGCTGCAAACAAAGAAACGAGGATCAGAAGTTCTGAAGCCAGGCTCGTGACTCAGCAGGAAATGTCAGTGGGATCAGAAGTTCTAGATTCGTTTATTCTGAGATCCTGCAAAAAATGTTAGAGGGAAAACACAAAGGTTCTGGATGACGTTCAGCCAGTGAACTAAAAGTCAGAAGTTTTGTATTATGCTGAAACAGTGAGCAAACGTCAGCAATTCAGTGTATTTGACATGTAAGGAGAACTCAGAAGTTTTGTGTTGTGTTAAGGTTGTGAGTGAACATTAGAAGTTCTGTATTGTGCTGAGCCAGTGGGTGAACATCAGAAGTTTAGTGTGTGTTAACAGTGAGAAAAATCATGGAAGTTCTGTGTGTTAAAACAGTGAAGAGAACTCAGAAGTTCTGCGTGCTTAAACAGTGAGAAAATCCTAGAAGTTCTGTGTGTTAAAATGATGAGTGAAAAACAGAAGTTTTGTGTTACATTTCAGCTCTTAATCAGCACAACAACAATTTATTCAGTTCAACAAATCAGAATGATCACAACACAACAAATCATAGAAGTTTCAATCCTAAGTTTGAGCCTAGCATTATTCTAGAAGTTCTGATCCATAGTTTTTCTATTCATACAATGATATGTACAACATTAATGCTATGATATTTACATGTTAATGATGTTCGGAATGAAAAGCAAGTAAAGTCAGAAAGACTTACCTGGAGCGTGCTTGGAGCTTTGAGTGGCTGTCTTTGGATGTTTCTGGAATCAGCAAGAGTAATGGAAGAGGAAACGTCAAGCTCTTTGATTCAAAAAAAAGAACAAAGGTTTTTTTTTGTGTATGAGGAATCTGTATTTTTATGAAGGTTTCACAACTTCCTTTTCTCTTTTGGAAAATCTCTCTCTTCAAAAGCCAGCCCTTCAAATTCCAGCCCCTTGAATGTATGATGGAGTCAAGTATTTATAGATGAATTTGTTGTGATTTTTGGGGGAAAAGCAAATAGGATTTGAACCTGTTTTGGCATCCTGTTCCTTTGCTTTTTCCTCACAGTTTTCGTATGCTAGTTTGGTGTAATCATGGGATGCAAGCGTAGGCTGAGCTAGCTGTTGGTTATAGGTCTGCAGCAAGTTGCATGGACAAGATTTTGGGATTTGGTCAAGTTCTGACCAAAGCTTTAAAAATAGCCTTCATGTGCTGAAGTGCTGCCTTGTCTTTGAAGCAAGCATGGTGGCTGTCAGCAGGAATTAAGGAAAAGCAAAAGCAGAGTTGCTATCCCAAGATAGTAGAGGTACACGTGGTGAAGATCCTTTGGATAAAGACTCAGAAGGTGGTTGTGAGCATTAAATGAGCATTAAATGATGATGAGACTTGTCACAACCATAAATCCTGCAGCGTGATACTCTACACCAAGGCTTTATTATGGGTCAGAAGTTCTGCTTCAGCGTAGCATCCATCCTCTGATCTTTGTATCTTCTAGCTCCATCATGTTTTGAAGGAGCTTTCAAACTTTCTAGAAAGCTTGCAGCACGATCCTTAACCTTCTTTGCATTACCCTAGCAAACTCTGACTGAACTTGCGTAGATGCTGAAGAGCCATGTTCGGACTGGAGACTATGTGTTGAACCATGTCTACATCTTCTGACTGCTCCTGCTTGGAGGCTGGCTCAGAAGTTCTGAAGTGTCATTTTTTCTTAAATACTTAGAAGAAATTCCAAGTATTTAGAGATTTGACTTTTCCATAGTAAATTTGACTTTTGAACCTCTTGATGAAACAAACTTCATATTCCAATATGTTTTGATGAAATATGATCTTTGAGATTTGATGTTGATCCAAAAGTCAAAGTTTGGCCTTTCAGCATGCAAATGACCATTTTGCCCTTGTGGCTTGGTTTGCTTGAAAAATGATAATTCAAGGCTTGGAATTGGATGGGAGCAAACTTGAGGATCCAGGGTGATCCCTTGAGAAATGAGAGGGAAAATTTTGGGGTACAACAGATACCGATACCAACAAATGTGTCACACTAACGTAGCAATCACTTCAACCTTGTCGGTATACCCTGCACGGTCCCCACGATCTATTGCTACTTACCTAAAAGGTGCCCCATATCCGGGTGTCGGATCTTTAACAATAACCCCAAACAAACCCTCAAAAGTAAAGCACACAAAACACACAATGTAAAGCAATTTAAAAATGAACTAAACTCTAAGGTAACCCCACTTTATAAATATTTCCCAGCAGAGTCGTCAGTTCTATAATACGGTGGGAGAACTGATTGTTATACTGGTTTTGCATTTGTATTCGTAAATGTTGCGGTAAGCAAGAGTCTCCACTAACTTTTATTTTATCCAACAAGGGAAAGGGTGAAAAGAACAAAAAAATACCTTTCGAGATTATTTCTGAGTAAGGGGTT